CTCCTGTGCATGGTAGTAGAGGGTCGGGAAGAGAGAGAAGAGAAAGGAATGTGTCAGAGAGACAAAGTAGCAAACGGAGTCTTGAAGGAAACAGTTCGGATGAAAATAATGTATTTTGCAAGAGGATTGTTCGGGAGGAAGCTAAACTAATAAAAAGTTTAGAAAGGAGGATGAAGGCATTCATCTCAGTCCGTTAGCTCTGTCAAAAGAGTTAAAAAAGAAGTTTGGAGAGATGACATTTGCTAAGATCCTTAGAGATAGAAATCTGTTGGTTACAGTAAGAAATGAAGAACAGAAGAATAAATTAATGAGCGCCCAGAGTATTTGTAAAAAAAAATATTACTCAGGTAAAGATTGTGGGAGAGGATAAAGTAGTAAGAGGGGTGATAACAGTTATTCCGGCTGATGAAGATCTAGAAAAGTTCCGACGCAGTATTTATGGAGGAGAAGTAAGCAAAATTAAAAGATTGATGAGAACAGTTGAAGGTGAAACAGTGGAAAGTCCCTCGGTAATGTTGGAGTTTCAAACAAATGTTCTTCCTGAAAGGGTAAAAGTCGTGTGTATGTGCTTTCCTGTAAGGCCATATATCCCTCCACCTCTCAGGTGTTATAAATGCCAGAGATATGGACACATCGATGCAGCATGTAGGGGAAAACAAAGATGTCCAAAGTGTGGAGGAGAGCATAGCTATGATGAATGTAAAAATGGGAAGGAAACTTGTTGTAATTGTGGAGAGCAACATAGAGTGACTTAAGGAGTGAGGTCAGAAGAAAAGCAATGGAAATCGAACAAGTTAAAGTCACTAGTAATATAAATTATGCAGAAGCTGCTAAAAGAGTGGAGCCAAAAGAAGTGATAAAGAAAGTTCAGCCAAATTCAACACCAGAACAAAAACAGAGTGGGATGGAAAATGTGCTAACAGTTGAAAAGATTCTGCTGTTCGTTGCATATGTCATTAATTGTACAGATCATGTTAAACAAAAAACTGGAAAAAATAAAAAATAATTTTGAAAGGGGCAGAGAGGTTTTTTGGTAAAAAGGACATATCCTGGGAACACATAAATAAGAGACTAGGGGCAGAAGGAAAGGCAGGAGGACAGGAAGACAAAATCTGAACATTTTACAATGGAACGCTAGAAGCCTTATTGCAAACGGACAAGAGTTTAAAGGATTTGTTAAAGAATTTAAAGAAGATCTAGATATTATATGTATTCAGGAAACTTGGCTTAAAATAAATCTTGATTTTGTTATAAAAGGATATGAAAGCATAAAAAGAGACAGAGAGGGAGGATCTGGAGGAGGGTGTATAACATTCATAAAACAGGGAATTCAATTTAATTACTGGCTAAAGGTAAAGATTTAGAATACATCGTTACTGAAATATGAACAGTAAATGAGCCATTTAAAATAATCAACTTCTATAATCCATGTAAAAGACTTTCACTAGATTTAATGGAGGAACTTGGGGTGTATTTAGAGAGTAAGGTTATATGGTGTGGGGGCTTTAATGGACATAGTACATTATGGGGTAATCATCATGACCAAAATGGGGATATAATAGAAGAAATAATGGATGTTAAAAATCTGGTATGTCTAAATGATGGAAGTGGAACCAGAATCAATTTTAGAGATAATACAGAGTCAGCAATTGATTTAACATTAGTTTCAAATTCTATAGCAGGTGTTTGTGTACGGCAAGTAATCAATAAAATGACTATAGGAAGTTATCATTAAATGGTGTTTTAGGTCAACAGATTGGGAAACCTTTAGGAATAGTAGTGAAATGAAAATGTAAAAAGTGGATATGAGTAGTAGTATTGATGAAATACATGTTTCTATATGTAATGCTATCTTGGAAGCTGCTAATCAGGCTATAAGGAAGAAAGGTGGGGGAAGCGAAGGAAGGTTGGTGCCCTGGTGGACATCAGAATGTAAGGAGATTATCAAGAAACGAAATAAAGCTGTCAAATTATTAAAAAGAAATGACAATTTTCAGAATCTGACTAACTACAAGAAATAACAAGCAAATGTAAGAAGAATTATTAAAAATGCAAAAAGAGATTATTGGAGGAGTTTCTGTAATTCAGTAGGGAGGGAGACAGATATTTTTACGGTGTGGGCAACAATTAAAAGGATGAATGGGATTAAAAGAACGAGTGGATATCCAATATTAAATGAAGGAGAAATAACAGCAGTTACTGACAGAGAAAAGGCAAAAATGTTGGTAAATACTTTTGTTAAAATTCATAGTTCTGAAAATATTAGTCAAGAAGGGAAAAAAGGGAGAGAAAAGACTATTTTGGAGAACAAGTATTTATTACAGCAAATAGAAGATACAAATGAACCTTTGAACATGTTGTTCACAATAACAGAACTGAATAGGGCTTTTAAAAAATATAAATTATCAGCTCCAGGAAAAGATCAAATTTATTATGTTATGATTAGTAATTTAAGTGAATCTTCTAAAAATATTTTCTTAGAAATGTATAATAGGATATGGGAAGTTGGGGAATTGCCAAAGAGTTGGAAGGAGGCCGTGATTGTTCCAATCAGAAAACCAGGGAAAGATTAGTCAAAACCAGGAAATTATCAGCCAATAGCTTTAACATCCAACTTATGTAAAATAATGGAGAGAATGATAAATGAAAGATTAATATATTATACTGAAAAGAAGGGACTTATATCATCTTATCAGAGTGGTTTTAGAAGAGGTAGAGGTACAATGGATCCAGTTTTGTGTTTAGAGCATGAAATTAGAAAGGCACAGGTGAATAAAGAAAGTGTTGTGGCAGTATGTGGCATATGATATGTTGTGGAGGGAAGGGTTATTAATTGAAATTAGAAGAATGGGTATAAATAGTCATATGGTTAGATGGATTAAAAATTTTCTAGAAGAAAGACGAATACAAGAGAGGATAGCGAAGGATTATTCTGAGAGTTGGAAAATTGAAAATGGGACACCACAGGGAAGTATAGTAAGTCCGTTATTATTTTCAGTGATGATATGTATGTTTAAAGACATAAAGGGTGGTATGGGATTCTCATTATTTGCAGATGATGGAGCAATGTGGAAAAGAGGAAGAAATTTAGAATTTATTGTAAAGAAACTTCAGGAAGCAATTTCAGTTGTAGAAAAATAGTCATATAAATGGGGTTTTAAATCGTCAGTAGAGAAAACTAAAATAATGCT